GTGTGTGTGTGTGTGTGTTTGTCTGTGAATATACAATATATAGGTCCATGTGTGAATGTGTGTGTGTTCACTCGGTCATTTTATTGTCCCAGGAGTCATTGTCAGTGATGATGTCAAACAGTCACCGGACAGTGTCCAGAGTCAGCGGTCAGTCTCAGCAGGTCTCTGTTAAATGTCCCTGAGTAACTTAGAATAAAATAATGATGGTGAAGGTTTACGCCACAACATTCTCCTGGACAGTTTCTTTCATTCTTCCCAGGCTGACCTTTTAAGAACCTTTTGTGGCTGAAAACACATTTTCACGGCTTCGTTTTCTGCCTTCTGCAGCGGCAGACTTTACATATTTTTTTCGTACTGTCCTCATTTTTTCGTACTTGTGCCAGAGGTGAAGATCTAGTTCTCTAAAGCTTTGTCCATTGTTAGGAGACTTCTCTGAACAGTCTCTGAAAAATGAGTCACAAGTTGGATACGAGTTGAAACAACCTACTGTCAGAGACATTTGTAAGCTTTACCGTACGATGTGAAGTTCCAGCGTCAAGGGAGGAGAGGAAAGAGAACAGAGAGAGAGGCAAATAAAAAGAAACACTGATGTAAATGTGAGATTATATGGGATTAGCTATGCGATTAGCTCTGGGATTAACAGGATAAGTCTGGTCTAGCGTACAGTAAGTGCACGTGTTTGGGTTGTTTTTTTTCTTCAAAACAGAATAAAAGTCGACGTCAATAAACCAGATCAGGTAACATCCAATCAGATTTGACAAGACGTTGTTTCTTAACCTTGTTTGACCCGTGGCACATACTTATATCCTGATGATCAGGTAACATCCAATCAGATTTGACCAGACAGCAGTGTTTCCCAACCTTGTTTGAGCCGTGGCACATACTTATATCCTGACGGAAAAACCCCGCGACACCAAACAAAACTCTCACAAAAAGGTTGTGTAAGGAAGTATAATAACATTCTAGTTTGAATTGACTAAAAATGTATTCCTGTTTAGTTGAAGACAACACTGATATACTGGCAGGAATTGAAGAAAGACACTCACCAAACACCTTCTTCAACAGCTCGTATGATCTTTCTTTAGGCTTTAATAAACATCTGCTGCCACCTAGAGGAAGAGAATTTAATTACTCTGCCTGTCACACATTGACGAAAGAAAGAAACATTATTTGCAATAAATAAATAGTAGTTTTGGAATCGAGTGTCATTGGATTATTTTTCGTTACTGTGTACTCAACTATACAATACTGAACGACATAATCTACAAGATTGAGTACATTTGAGTATTTGAGATTAAAGATAAGATTTATTCAAATTAAAGTATATTATATGAGGATTAAAGAGACTAGACAAGGCTGGATTAGACAGAACCAGATTGGAGTACACACTATAAAACAATATTATAGCATATGATATTAGATTAGAGTGTATAATCTATATTGGGCTAGGATATAATAGATTAGATTAGATCAGTTAATGTACATGGTATCCATATGTGGGATTAGAGCAGATTAAAGGTTGTACAAATGCATCTGATGAGTGCTGATGTAGAAGAAGGAGGAGAGAGAGAGAGGAGCTCCCAACACACTGTTCACTGTTCACACTTTTTGATCAGGATTATGTTGGTCCGTCTGCTGGCTCCAGAGAGCTGCAGCGGCTGCTTCTCCACAGCGGGACGCTGATATTCTACTGTTAGGTCTGGTAGAGGAGGTGGCGTGGTTGAGTGCAGCTGCAGGTGTTGGCCTTCTCCTCTTTCAGAGAGCTTGCTACAACATTGCTATGGATGCTAACGCTACATTTAGCCTCAAACACTGGGAAATAACGATGCATTTTGGAGTGGAGTGGAATTTTTTTTTCGGTAATGTATGGTTCCGAGGAGTCTTGAAATCAATGACAGTGTGTGTGTGTGTGTGTGTGTGTTTGTGTTTGTGCAGGTGTGTGTACGAGCGTGTTCTTCTTCACGTCTTGGCTCCTTCTTTTCATTTCCTGGCCTTCCTCCTCTGACTCCCCGCTCCCTCTCCTGCGCCCCACTTCCTTCTCACAGTTCTACGTTTGACCTTGTTAGCTCAGGTCTCATCCGTCTGTGTACACTGTGTGTGTTTTCTTTTGTGTGTGTTTTTGTGTAGTGTACTCAATGGTGAAGAAATACTGAACCACAAATCGCTTTAATAAAACATCATGTGCCTCTGTGTGTGTGTGCGCGCGCGCGCGTGTGTATGTGTCCGTGTGTTTACCCCAGGGCGGAGCTTTGTGTGTTAGACAGAGATAACAGGACAACCCAGGGCAGTCCTCTAATTGGCCCCGCTCTCTTGCCCCGGATACTTGCTCTCTTTCTCTCACAAGATATATCTGTTCTCTTTTAAACCTCCTCTTCTCCTCACCCTCCTCCTCCTCACCCTCCTCCTGCGCCTCATCTGCTGTAAGGTGATGTGAGCCCGGCCATGTATTGAAAGAGGGTCAATGTGGATGTTTCAGACCAGTGACATTGATCTAAGACAGTCATGTTGGAGTCGGAGCTTCCTCTAATGGTTGTGCTGTGTGACTGGAGTCCTAATGCTTTGAGGTGGAAGCTGATGTTTTATAATGAGCAGCTTCCCTCCGTCTGTATGTGTGTGTGTGTGTGTGTGTCTGAAGACCGCATATGCATCAGTTAGATTGAACAAATTGTGACGGCGAAGTCCTAACATTTTCTTTTTTATTTTGCCAAATCAAGACGAACAAAATCCTAAAAATGTATCCAAACCCCAGGCGGAACAAAAATACAAGTGGCTCTCTTTCATGAGCTGGTGAAGTAGACCAACAACTAATGATATGTGCTGCTGCTTCCTTCAGAAAAAGGCCGCTTATACTGCAACTAAGGACAAACACGGGCTACGTTCTCCAAAAAAGGGCCAACAAAGGCTCTCTGACTCCCCGAGGAAATGCAGTCCACGCTGCAGACGAAGGCCAACAAAGGCTGCTGACATCAGAAAACTCTGTCTATAAGCACGCTATAAGCTCCTGATAAAGAGCCAAAGGAGCTGTTCTCTTCAGAGGTAGTCTACACAGCAGTTTAAATTCAACAATGGGCTCCTCCACAATATAGACGACAAAAAAGA